TCACTGACCAGAAAAGTGCGCGAACTGATTTCCCGCCGGCGCTTTCATGGAGGGAGGGAGGGCGTTAGTGACGGACGGATGACGACATTTTTTTTACCCAGAAGGCATTGGCGGCTCGACCCAGAATTCCGATGGGCAGCGGGGACTGCGGGAACTGTGGGATAGCTGCCCACAGTGCACCGCTTCCAATATCGACGCTCGCCCCGTTACTGTGGACTCACAAAGTCGAATTACTGTCCTTAGTGTGGACACACACGTTCGACTTTGCAATATCGATTACACATTCGATTTAAGTAAAATCGAACTACCCTCGTAGTGTAGACATACCCTGAGAACCCCTGCTTTAGGACACTACAGATGTAGGCCAGATTATTCTAAATCACAGGTTTCAAAGGCCAACATTTTCAAATTTGAATGGTCAGTCTTGGACTCTTAAATCCGTATTTGCACCTAAATAAAAGTTGCCCAATAGTCAGAATTCCTGGATACTTACTGCTGCAGGTGTTCACCACTAAAAGTTAGGCCACTTAATATGGCTTGAGACAGCTAAATAAGAAACCTAAAATTGGGCACCCAAATTTGAAAGTGTGTGTTGTCTACTCCTTTGTCTGTGGCCTGCATGTCAACGCCATTCCTCTCTCTGCCGTAGCAGTAGTTCCTCATTTGTCAAACTCTGTGCTAAGGATAAGTTGATCTGCATTCTGGAGGCAAATCTCACAGTTCTACATGCTTAGTCAGCCAACCTGGTTGCTATCCTGTGCTATTCCTGCACATCTTGCAGCACTAGGATGTTCTTCATAAATAAAGTCTGCCTCCCGTAACTCTCCAGATCAATATTTCATAGAATTGGTAGCCTAAATTTACTTTATTCCCTTGCAGGGGCTGCTTAGAAATCTATGGTCATCTTTGCAACTCAGAAAAAGTCGATCAAGACTGACTCATGGACTTTCCTTATTCTGTCAGAAAATAAATGCAGAGGCGCTCACTGTGAAGGACTGAGGTATCTACAGTGGACACTTACATTTCCCTCTCCCTGCTCACCCCCTCCTAAATAATGCATAGCAGCTATTTAAAATCAGGACTACTAGACAATCATTTGCTTGTTTATATTTCTTGAGGTGCTGCTCTGTTGATCTTCTAGCATGGTAGAAAAGAATGAAGCTGCTGTCCTCCAGGAGATCACAGAAGAGTACACTTGCACTAAACAACGAACATAGAAAGAGGAACGATAGATGTAGGTTTTGCTGTGTGTTTGGAAAGTATATCTGATCTTGCTTTGCAGATGGATCGTATAAGCCTGCACAGAAAGGGTCATATAGAAAGCCAATTTTTTTTTTTGTTTCAAAGACCACACTTCAAAGGACTACTGTTGCTGCACGGTAAACAGGATTGTTTCTTTTGTAGCCCAAAAGATGACTGCTGTATTGTGACATGTTCTCGTAGGGTCCATAAACAGTTTCCATATAAATGGTTTCCACTTTATATAAAAATTTCACCTTGAAAATAAGGATTCAGGTTTTAAAGGCTGCTTGTATATCCCAAAGCACATTCTGCCTCATGGAAAGTGCAACATGCTCACGTGATCAAATTAAATTTACAGCTGTTTTGTTCACACCTTAATGATCATCATAGCATGTAGACCTAACAGCCTATTAACAATCGGTAGGGGGTTTAAGACCCAGGCCTGGTCTACACCTAAAATTTAGGCTGACTTATGTTGTGCAGTGGTGTGAAACATTCACTCCCAAGGGTGGCTCAACTACACCCCTAAGCCCCACTGTAGACACAGTTCAGTCAACAGAAGAATTATTCCATCAACCTAGTTACTGCCTGTTGGAGGGGTGAATTAACTACAGCCATAGAGAACCCCCTTCCATCATTGTAGCAAGTATCTACACCATGGCACTACAGCAGCAGCACCACAGCATCTGTAGTGTAGACACAGCCCCACTCAAAGCACCTGGGGAGATTCAGACTCTGCAGTAACCCCTTTTCAGAATTACACCTCAGTCTGCTCGACTTCTTGAAGGCCAAGCTTTACCTTATGTTGAATAAATCAGAGCCACAAAGCCTTATATAGAAAGGCAATCCATGCTACGCAACCTTGAATTTTATTTTTTGACCTCATGGATATCAAGATTTTGGACTCTCCCCACCCAAGGCTGCCACGGCATTAGAACTTTGTCCTTGAGAGGGTGTGAACAGAAGAACTTTCTAAAGGCTAAATTATGGATAGCTCTGTACATATACTCTAGAAGGAATGGGCAAGAGAGCACCCTTCATTCCTCCCCTATCACCACAGCCATGTTTTGGCTGAAGGGGTCACAGAGAAGATACTATGTGGTACTGCTGCCAATGCTAATAGCCCCAGAGGTTGATGTGGAGGAGAAGCTATGGTTCTGCCTCCTACACACCAGCATTCTCCTGGCAGCATTTGCACGTCACACCTTTTAAAGCACCTCCTAGAAGGTATAATGCCTCCACACACTACTGCTCAGAAAGCACCACTATTCTAAGAGGTACAATTTTGCCTTGAGAATGCACTTTTCCTGAAGATAAGCTTCACCCAAAAAAAATCAAAGCAGCACACCATTTATGTAGAAAAACAATTTATTCCATTTGAAGCACTTACACATAATTAGTCATGGAGAGTAACAGCCTACTGGTGGAACAGGTCACCCTAGTGGGAGATGTGCAGAAGTTAGTAGTCAAGGACTAACTCCTAAAAAAAAGTAGCTCATCCACATTTAGTTAATATTTTGTTTTACATATACCAGCTACCAATGGTGTTTTCAGATTACTGGGCATGCCATCTGTGGTACATCAGTCAGGTAAAAACATACAACTTTACAACTTGGTGGTCCCAAGTTTTAAAAACCATTTCACAGAAAGGAAAGAAAATATAATATGAAAACACAGCTCAAGAACACACAATAGAGCAAACTACATGGGTGGTGAATAGTGATCTGCAGGAATAGCTACTGTATCCAAAGTTCTGCGTTGCCCACCAGAAGGGGAAGGATGGGGGAAGAGAAAGTGAAAACCCAGAATTAAGGAAAGAACTCTAGTTCTGGTTGAAGTCAGAATCTGCACTTGAAAATACTGGCACACAGACTAAAAGGATCCCGATAGTCTGAGTTTTACCAAAAAGAGGACAAGAGATTCCACTCTCCACTTAACTGCTCACAGATTAAAACCCCTTGCAACATCTGAACCGCATCATCTCAGGCACACACTTAGGTGGCTCCAAACCTTGGTTAAAGTTAGCCAGAAAACCTGCAGCTTTAGCATTTAAGCAGAAGGAAAAAAAAAAAGTGAGGTTTTTTCCACTTCATGAAGGCATCTTAGGCCCGTTCGATACACAATAAGCCTCTGTAGGAAATTTAAACAAGGAGCTATAGCACAGTACCAGCTCAGTTGGGCCAAGCCCTTAAGTTAGAGTCCTCACTGTTGGAGTTAAAAGCATTGTTGATGGTATCTACATAAGGAAGGCTGAACACAAAGTCTATGTGTGTCTCAAAACCAGTGTTAAATCAATATCAGGGCTGGAAGGGAAGAGAGGGAAAGAGGACTAAAAACAGTAAAAGGTCAGTCATCTAGGACCCTTGACCTTCTGGATCCACACTTCCTTCAGGGTCTTCATCATTATATATGTTCTCAGCCTGCAAGACAGATATAGGGGATGGAGAATTGGAGAAACACTTAACAGGACAACATTCATCCGAGTTAAAGGGATTCAATCGGAGCACTCCCAAGGACTGCAGTTCTAGCAGTTGCTCATCTCCACATACTGAGCTCTCACCCTAGATCCCTCAAGGCCATTTAGCATTTACAGAAGTGTTACTATAAATACAACTGAACTGTCTCATAATGGTCATGTTTTCCACAGTATTTCCTTAAACAAAGGCTCATTATAAAGACTGTAGTTTGTACATAATACAGTTAAGGAGGCAAGTCCCTAATTGTGTAAGTGAAGATCACTGAGAATCCCACTGTATTTTAAAGAATTAAATATATGGAAAAGAACCTTTTTTTTTTTTTTAAAAGCACACATACTCTACACGCAGTAAGTGCCTTTCAGAAGATCTCAAAGCACTTCAACACTATCATACCAAAGCCCCTGCAAAGTGGATATTCCACCCATTTATGGGAAGATAAACAGGAGGTAAAAAAAAGTAACTGTCAGCGTATAAGTCACTTAAAAACACCAGTTTCTTTTCCTATGCTTCTAACTGGTGTTATATGTAAAACAATATAAAATTAATTTCCCCAGCCCCATTTATTCTATTTACCATTTGTAAGCATTTCACTCCCTTTGGGCAATGACCAATCAGTTTTCAACTTCTCCTTTGGCTCAAACACACTAATATAATGTTTGGGTTCCAAATACAGGAAGGGAATGTTTATTTTTGGAATTGAGACACATGAAGTAGTTTCTTTAATGTTTGTAAAAACAAACAAAACCTAAACCAACTTCAGTATTTCCATGCGGCCTTGGCCAAGGCTGCACAACAAGTCTGTATCAGAGCAGGGAATTCTACTCTGCTCAATAGATCTGAGATAGTGTCATTTCCCACACAGCCACCAAACAACACACACCCCCGCACACACAAACCACAAAGAAACTTACCATTTGCCAGACTTGCATAATATTGTCTTCTGATACAGAACAAATTACCCAGGGTTCATTGGGATTCCAGGAGAAATCAGATATCTTTGCAGTGTGACCACCATGAATAAACTAGTATTGGGGGAAAAAACAAAAAAAAGACAGCATTCAGGTCTACAGTGCAGAGATGGAGAGCATGTCAGATCCAGTGTTATGGTTTGGGAAACTTACCAACAGCTCCGGTGGGCCATCCTCTGCATCTTCAGGGGACTGCTCTTCTCCAATTTTACTGTAGTAGAAACGAGCAAAATGTAAACAGATTTTTCACAGGACACAAGGGAATTGATTCAGGAAAGACAATAGCAGATAACATTGTCAGTTTAGGACTTACCTCAAGTCCCAGACATTTAGCCTGCGGTCAGTACCACTGGAGGCCAAAATAGTTTCATTATGAGGAGACCACTGAACCTGCACAAATAAAAGCACACCAGAAAGGAGATGAATCTTAAGAAGCGATGCGTGAGACAGTTAGTGGAGCGACATCTGCTTTATCTCATGAATGCAGTTTTCCAGCTTCAAGTTGTAAATGCATCAATTCAAAATATGAATTTTCCATTGATAATGTTTTTACATGGAAGAGAGGCTTGTGAACACTCATGACTGCATGCCTAAAGCATGAATGAGGTGATTTGCTCAGACTCCAGGGAGCTGCAACATCCAATCTTCCTTCTCATGTGGGATGCTTACTGAAAAGCATTGCAACCTCCAAGGGTTACACTTACACAACAAACCATGCACTCGTGAAATAGGAGGCAAGATTACATGGAGCACAAAAAAAAGCAGAACAGAGGGAAAAGGAATAAATCCCACAATCCTGTTTATACCAGCCCAAATACTAGAGTTACTGCCTCCAACTGGAAAACAAACTATTCCTGGGAATACTACTGAATCCGGCAGCTGGGCCAGAGGTCAAGGGAAGAGAGTAGGGTTCTAAGCACATATCTTCCAACAATGCATGTAAAAGCCATCAAGTGTTCTATTTAGAAGCAGTTATAGTTCTCAATGATAACAATCATCTTACCCAACAAACCCCTGCATATTCTTTTCTTTCAAATCAGTCTTCCATTTTGCTGCTCTTGGACAATTATCTTCACCTGCCATCTCTTCTGATGCTGAAGATGCTAATCAGTCTAAAAAGGTGTCCTGCTTTCCCAATTGCTCCCTGTCTCTAGCTGATCCTGAAGACCCCCATTATTGGTCACTAGTTTGTACTCTATGAAGGTGCAGCTTTCCTTGAGGGACAAATCCAGATGATGAACATGCTGCAGCCATTTCAGCACACGGCCTTGTTTCTGTCTACCACCACGAATAATTTAATTTCACTCTTCTAGTGATAATGAGGAATGGCCATTAAAGTTAACCTCTCATCTAACCTGTTCCATTCTCCCAATCATTTTATTAACTCCCTTAAGGGTTTGGTATTCTCCCACATTTAGAGGGCTCACTATTATGGAGCTCCTCACTGCAACTAGTTACTGTGGGGAGAATCACAAAGATGAGCTAAAAACCACCACGAGTTTTTAATGCAAATATTCTTAGTACTAAGAACAGTGGAAGGAAAGGAATTAAATGGACTAATTTTAACATTGTGCAGGGTGTCAGTGTCTCGGAGGCCTCAACTGCAGGAAACAAAAATCAAAGTAATTCCATAAAAAAAAAAGATACCATTTTACTGTACCTGAAATATTTCATCTTTATGAGATTCAAAGGAGTGCAGCTTCAGTTTTAGGTTTCTCAGATCCCATAAAGCAACCGTCTATTCAGGAAGATGGAAAAATAAAATTAAGGCAAGAGATTTTTTTTAGCAGAGTTAGCAATATATAGTTGTGTGAACATGAGCTTAAGGGATGTCATCTGTCCACATTCAAGAC